ATATACACACACACACAATTTTTTTGAGGCAGGGTCTCCCTGGAGCCCCAGCTGGCCTTGATCTCATAGAGATCTGCCTGCCTGTGCCTTTGAAGTGCTGGGATTAAAGGCATGGGCCACTATATCCAGCCAGTTTGATGAGCTAAAACTTAACTGCAAAACCTGCCATCTGTGTGCAGACATGGAACAAGCAACCTCCACAGAAATCTGTCGTCCATCTTACTCAAGTGCTACCTAGAAAAATTGCAAAGATGGACACATTGCAGAGGACAGTCTCTTGCTAGGAACCTGGGTCACTACCCTCTCCGGGGAGGATAAAGTGTTCTACCTTCCAGGCTCAGCAGGACAGGCAGAGATCCAGACATTTCCATTACTGTAGGAGATATACATAAGGGTGTCACACCCACCAAATGCTACAGCCTTGTCCAACCACCAGCCTGCTCCAAGCAGCATGCATCTGGGCAGGCACAAGGCTTGCGGCCCTTAGTAAGGCTGCCTTGTCCTCTAAGTGCTTAGTGGAGGTGTGTGGGGGTGACTGGAAATGTTGGCAGGGGGAAACTAACCTGGTGGAAAGGAAGTAGGAGGCGCTGACTGCTCCTGAGGTCTTTCTACGGGTTGAATTTGGGGACACAGCAGGGCTTTGGGATAATCTTCCCTTGCTCATCAACTTTTGGAAACTAGATGGTCAGAGAGAGGGCAGCAGACAGAGTGTGGTTAGGGTGAGGGAACAGTCTCTAAGCAGGAGCAACCTGAGGGCAGTGTATCATGCTGTCCTCTTCTCTAAAGGACCTCGTTGGTACTCGTGCGAGTCCTCATGACCTATGGGGTGGCTCTCCCCTTGAGTCTTCAAAGTATGGGGCACTGCAGCCTTAGAGCATCCATGATGACGAGCCTGTCCTTGTAGCACAGGAACCCTGAACGACCTGCACTTGAAGACTGGGGTTTGGCTGCAGGAGGGTATTCAAACAGACACTGGTGGGGAAAATGGGATTTGAGCTGCCGGGGAACTTTGGCCTTCTGTGTGGTCACCCTGCAGCAAAGCCTTGTGCTATGACTCAGTAGGACCTGTGATCTTTGGCGAGCCGCCCTGTAGAAACGAGAGATGCTCTTACTTGGATGGAGTGTTGCTGCAAGAGCACATCCATCCAGGGACTGGAGAGCCACTTTGTGACAAAGGTTAAAGGTTGGCAGGGCTGTGCACATGGAGACAGCTGGGAGGAAAGGTCACAGGCCAGACTAGCGCTCGGTGCCACGTGTCACCCGGCTCCACAATTCTTGCCTGCACTGTCACCATCCTCCATGAGTGTGAATCCTCCAGCCAAGCAGTTACCACTGTCTTGAGTGTTGATAAAGCAGGACTGACACCACAAACGTTAGGGTAACAAAACAAAAATTAAAGGGCACAATGCTGCTGGACTGAGAGTGACCTTGTGCTGTGATACGTTATCTCAGAGCACAGGGGCAAGTTGTGAAAATTGCATTTCTGGTGTATTAAATCTTGACTGAGAGGAAAAAAGAGGAGTATGTTAACTGTTTCCTGCTGTTTGTGACAAAATT